TACATTCCAGGAGTCACCTCTACTTGTTCATGTTGAGAAACTCTCTTTATTACTGATGGCAATTGGTAAATATTTTCTTAAAAATTTTCTGACTATTTTCATTAGGGGATATCTATCAGTCTGTAATTCTGTCTGGGAGGTTTTTTTTCTGGTGTTCGTATAAAGATAACCCCGACCTCATAAAATGAGCTGAGTAAATTTCCACCAACTATTTTCCAGAAGCTACTGCGTGAAACTAATAGTAAATCTCCTTTGAAGGTTTTAAGGAATTCTCCAGTGAAACTATCTAGACCGGGCTGTTGCTTCTCAGATCTTTTACATACTAATGCAACTTCTTCCTGACTTTTCCCCATTATTCTAAAGGATATTTTCTTGCCCACTACCATACCGGCTCTTTTGTGTTGTTCAATTTTAAGTGACGTATCTTCCTTTCTGAGTGGACGGGAAGACATGTTCTTGTCAATGGCGTAGAGCTCGGTCATGTTTTCTATCCACTCTGCATTTCACTTTATTGCTATGTTCAGAACATTGACAATTAGGGTAATTTATTAATAAAACAGAATACAAGTATGCATTATTTTACTTTTCTTCTATAATTTCCTCCATTTTTCATCTCTCCCTTTTTGTGAGTCCTTGTTTGGAGGACCTCAGGTTATTTACAGAACTTCAGAGTACATCTCTTCACATACTTATTGTAATGTTTCTTCTGGGCATGACAATATATACTGTAATACTTATTTATCAAATCACATTAACTCAGAAAAATAAAATAAAGAGACMTTAAACTATACTACAGAGCTATAGTAACAGAAACGGCATGGTACTGGCACCAAAATAGACTTGTAGACCAATGGTACAAAATAGAGGACCCAGAGACAGACCCACATAAATACGGTTATGTCATTCTAGACAAAGGTGCCAAAAACATTCACTGGAGAAAAGGCAGCCTACCAACAAATGGTGCTGGCAAAACCGGAAATCCATACGAAGCAAAATGAAATTAAACCTATCTCACACTACAAAAAAAATCAACTCAAAGTGGATCAAAGACTTAGGCAGTAGAACAGAGACAAGAAAAAATAGGCACAAATCTTCATGATGTCAGCCTAGGATCTGACTTCCCTAACAAGACTCCTAAAGCGCAAGAAGTAAAATCAAGAATCAATAAATGGGATGGATTCAAATTAAAAAGCTTCTTCTCAGAAAAGGGAACAATCAATAAGGTGAGGAGAGAGCCTACAGACTGGGAGAAAATCTTTAACACATGCACCTCCGATAAAGCATTAATCCCTAGGATATATAAAGAACTCAAAAAACTTAACACCAGAAAAACAAATAACCCAGTCAATAAACGGGCTAATAGCAGAACTGAACAGACACTTCACAGAAGAAGAAATACAACTGATCAACAAATATATGAAAAAGTGTTCAACATCTCTAGCAATTAGAGAAATGCAAATCAAAATTATATTAAGATTTCAAATCACTCCTGWCAGAATGTCAATCATCAAGAATAGAGAAAACAATATATGTTGGCGAGGAYGTGGGGAAAAAGGTACCCTAATACATTGCTGATGGGACTGAAAATTGGTGCAACCACTATGGAAAGCAGTATGGAGATTCCAGAAAGCTGGGAATGGAACCACCATTTGACCCAGCTATTCCCCTCATAGGTTTATACCCAAAAGACTTAAAATGAGCATACTACAGAAATGCAGCCACACCAATGTTTACAGCAGCACAATTCACCATAGCTAAACTATGGAATCAACCTAGGAGTCCCTCAATAGATGAATGAATAAAAAAAAAAAAATGTGGTATATGTATTCAATGGAATATTAGTTGGTTTTAAAGAAGAGTGGAATTATGGCATTCACCAGTAAATGGATGTTTTGGGAGGATATCATGCTAAGTGAAAAGAGCCAATCCCACAAAACCAAAGGCCAAATATTTTCTCTAATATGCGGATGCTAATTCACAATAAGGAGAGGGAGAGGGCGCAGAAGAATAGCATTACCTTAGATTAGATAGAAGGAAATCATGAGAGAGGATGTGGAGATAGGAAAGATAGTAGAATGAAACAGACATTATTAATGTATGTATGTATATATATATATATATATATATATATATATAACTACATGACCAATATGATTCTGTAATATGTATACTCAGAAAATTAAGAAATTATATCCCATCTATGTATGACATATCATAGGGTATAAATAATGCATTCTATTGTCATGTATAACTAATTAAAACAAATTCTAAAAAAGCAAAAAAAACAACAAAAGAGTAAATGGCTCTTCCCAGATGAAGGAAAAGCAACATCCTCTTCCCCCAGAAGCTAGTTCTAATCAGGGTATAAAAGGCACTCAACAGGGTCCATTGAGTCTGTTTTGATCCTGCAACCACGGAGGCAGCACACACCCATGGGCTGCAGGAACTGTGCGAAGGCTGCACTTGCCACCTCTTCCCCAGAGGACCCTGGTCTACACAAGTTCTTTACTTGATATGTGCCAGAGAAGCAACATTTTAGCAAACAGATTTATCCCAAGTTTTAGATACACCCTGGTAAGCTAGGAGACAAACTTGGCATTTCTTTCTTTCCCATATTGCACACATAAAAATAACATAACCTTCAATGGGAGTGATTTTTACTTAAACAAATATTTTGACAGCTTTTATCTTATTTAATATTATATTAAAAAGTTTAGAATAATCCAGAGCACTATAATTCTGCAAGTATCAGTTGATACAGTTGTTATTAAATAACACTTTTTTTTAAAAAACAAAAGATTGTTTCTTTGGGGGCTGGGTTGTGGCTCAGTGGTGGAGAGTTTGCCTAGCATGTGTGAGACACTGGGTTTAATCCTCAAAACCACATAAAAATAAACAAAATAAAGACATGCTGTCCATCTACAACTAAGAAAATAAATTTAAAAAAAAAAGATTGCTTCTTTGGAAAAAAAAAAATGATGAACTCTTGCAAATAGTATTTTTAACAAGTAAAGTCCCTAACATTGGGTTTAAGTTCGAAAAGCTGTAACTCATGGTTTTCCAACCAAGACATGTATAATAAAAGCTTATTCAACATGGAGTTCTGGAGCTGAGGACAATTCTGTTGCTCAATACCACTGTCAGAGTAACATGGAATACAGAGAGAAAATAGCTACATGTTCTAAGACATACACGTAAGGAAGTAGGCTCCTGACTAATGAAAGAACTCCTCCTTTCAGCCCTAGAGGACCTGCACTATAGCAGGCCATCAGTTAAAAAACAACAACAACAAAAAGAAAAAAACAGAAAACAGTAAGTGAAAACCCTAAGACAAGTAACAAGAACTAACAAACTGTAAAGAGAACTCACTCTCTTACTTAAATCTTGACATGAATTTATCAAGTTGGGAAAAGGAGAAATATGTAGAAATGTTTAACTCAGGGCAAGGAGCTCTTCCATAATGCCAGCAACCCTTCAATTCCTCTAAGCCACCCTCAAAAACATCAACTCTACTCTTGAAACATCAAATAGCTTGAAATTCCCTAAAGGAGCCACATTTTGTAATGCCAATAGCCCTTTCAGGCTTACCTGAAATAGCCTCCTTCTCTTTTTTATTTATCACACCATATTTAAAATATAACCAARAACTCTGTGCTACAGCATATGTGTAGCATGTACAAGGCCCTGAGTTCAGGGCCCAGAATCAAAAAGTAAAATATAATTAAAGGTATTTAAATAACATGGCCATCAATATAGCAAACATACAGCCTATGACAAAAGCAGGGAAAATTAGCAAAATTTACATGACTAACAGGCTGAGTAATCTCTCTAGTCAGAATCTGTCCTATATAAATGTACAAAGACAAATGTATAAGGATGGTCACCAYTACATTCTAAAATAGCAAAAGAAAAAAGGAGGCTTTCCGAAAAATGGAACTGATAGCATCCACACATCTGAAAACTAGGTACATGAATGACAAAACAATGTCTGCGTATCCCATCATATAAAATCAAATCACAAAGCCAACCACAACCTGTGCATAGAATAATGTAAAAACAGCCTTTCAGTGGGAGGAGGCAAAGAGGATTGCCCATGTGGCCAGACACCAGCTGACCCCACAGGTTCAGACTACTCTATAGAAGGCCTGATGGGAAAGTGTCCTAGAGTTATTGAAAACGTGGCCTAGAGCCTAAAAAAAAGTCTCCAGGAATGTTAAAGGAGAAAGTACACAGCAAGTATGAACTCTAGAGGGGAGGATGCCCAATGCACAAACATAGCAGGACAAGGGAAGGGCTGCACTTGAGCCAGCCTTCCTTCTGCAGATCATCAGCAATTCTGACAATCTCCACTCCTGATCTCTGTTGGGTTTTCATGACTACTTCCTACAGTCAGCTACACTTGTTTCTTTTCTAGTGCTCTTTTACTTCCCTTTACCTTTTCCTCTTTAAAATTTTTAAACCATAAGAACCATATCCAATAATTACAGACAATATAACTATCTACACAAGAAGTTCCAAAAACTGAAATAGAGTATTATTAACATGTTCTAATATGACTTTGAGGTCAAATGAAATAATCCTGAAAATGCATCATTAACAGTTAACAAACATCTTATTTCAGTCAAAATATGACTATACCTATATATATTAAAATACACTAGTAAAACAGAATGTACAAACATCTAGATTTTTGTTCAAGTACATCAAATCTTACATAAAGATATTAGGATTTAAAACACCTGTCTCAAATAATTTCATTAAGATTCAAAAGTTGGGGCTGGGGTTGTAGATCGGTGATAGAACACTTGCCTCACATGTGTGAAGCCGTGGGTTCGATCCCCAGCACCACATAAAAAATAAATAAATAAACAAATAAAAATAAAGATATTATGTCCATCTACAACTAAAAATTTTTTTAAAAATTCAAAAGTTACTCGTAATAAAGCTAAATGTTAATGACGGTATATACATAGATCTAAAATATATTAAAATGCATCAACCTTTTCCACTATGATGAGGTCTCCAACTTGTATGTCTGAACTCTTAACTTGCACTTTACCTTAAAAAGAAGAAGAAGTACAATCAACTCAAGGAAACAATGGCACACCAGAGATCAACGTTGAATTGACAGATATTTTAAAATAACTCTAAGGCAAAATCAATGAAATAAATGCAAACACCAGGAATTTGTCTATGTTCAACTCATACTTTCAAAGTAGATTTCATATAGACACTGTCACTCACAATTAACTTCTGTAGTAAACACAAATAATTAACTATCCCACATTTTTTTTTTAAAGGTGARAATTTTCTTGTGGTCATTGGAAAAGGTGTACCATTTGGAAGGGTCTTCCTGTACTCTGTCAGTGTTAAAGTTTCCAATGATGAAAAACATTATTCAATAAAATAACGTGACAACTAAAGCTGAAAAACATGGATATATAAAAGTCCTTAAATTAATATCATACATGACACTGGCACAAACCTCACAGGCAAAATAAATAAAGCAATAATATATAAAATCATCCTCTACTGGTAGCTTTACCAGCACAGGACAGAACTTAGAAGAACGTCTGTTTTAATTATCATGAGTATGGTTACTTCAAGCTTTCATCTTGCTCTCAGGACTGTTTACGGCCAAGTGTCTGACAGTGAATAGGCCCGCTGACCCCAGGCCCTGAGTATACTCCACAGAACTCTGTCATTTTCAACTTCATCTTCTTTCCTAACTATATAATTCATTCTTCCTTCTCACTATTTACATTCTTTGTAATGGACACATTAAAAAATGAGAGAAAAACACCAGGAGTCATAAGATGTAATAAATATAGTAAACACATTTAAAATACTTTGAAACAAAAAACACACTTTTTATTCCTTAATTAAGATCTTAAATTCCCAAGAAAGGTTTATTATTCTGTTATATGGTGACACACAGCATATATTTAATAGCCTTTGATTTTTTATTACTTATGTAATAAGTGACTGCTACCCTTTTCTATGGAACAACCTTGTAATTTTGCTTAAGGAAAAAAGTTCAGGGCAAATGATAGGATCAAAAGTTCTCAAACTGTTAATATTATTACACTATGAACAAAATATTAGAATACTAAGCCAGGCACAGTACCATGTGCCTGTAGCCCAAGGTACTTGGGTGGCTGAGGCAGGAGGATCCTTTGAGATCAGGAGTTCAAGACCAGCCTGGGGAACACTGCAAGATCCCATCTCAAAAAAAAAAAAAAAAAAAGAAAAAAAATATCAGAAGGTTAAATAATGGTCTGCTCACAAAACAGTGTGGCCATCTGCTCCAAGTCTGCTCAGCTATAGGATACATTTCTAAATGCTGAAGACAGTTAAGCTATTTTAACAGGTACTAACTTCTTGAATACTGTCAACCTACATTCAGGGGACTACAGACATTTCCTTCAGTGCCTCTGCCACCACCTGAACTCAGTGACTTCTCATCCTTGGCCAGGGAACTTTCAGGACACTGAACAGAAGAGACCTGCTCTCCACAATCTGCCTGCTGGTGAAGGCCCAGCAACACTGACCTTTTTCTGCCTCATTCTAACAGCCCATGCCTTATGCTAGGAATTTGCTAGGAATTTGATTTCGGGTCAACCCTTGGTTAACTGAGCTGCTAGCTTGTCACTTGTAATGTTACAGGTAGGAGASTGAAAACAAACTTACAACTCAGAGCATATTTAAGTCACAACTGGTCCATAGAGCTCAATACAGTTTGTTTAGGAACTTCGAGGTAATTTTAAGAGCACACTTTAGAAGGAAGCTCCAACAAAGATACCTCAATGTCAATGCTACCACTGAAGCTAATGGCACTTTTTTCTTTGAACATCATATTCCATTTATTCCAAGTAATGCTCACAATGTCATACAGTACTGGCCTGTTACTTTTTAATGAAACAGGTAAGGTTTGGAGGTGTGACCCAATGGTAAGAGCACCTGCCTACCATGTTTCASGCCATGGGTTCAATCACCTGCGCTACCAGAAAACAAAGAAAAAGAGTTAATAGTGATAACAATAATACTCTCTACTCCAAACCATTTCAATTATGTCCTCCTTCCAGAAAAAAAAATAATAAWAAAAAAATGTTCCCTGACACTGTGGTTCAAAAGCCAAAAAGCTGAGATTCTCCCCCAAAAAGGGAAGCTTCCATGTGACTTTTGCCATGAACGAAGCTAAAGGGGCTCTTCTACAGGAAGTCCTAAGTACAATACACAGCAGTCCAGCATGCTGCTGCTCGATGATGTGCCCCATATACAAAGAATATGGCACTAAAAGGTCTCCATTTCTATGACTTCCCTAATTCAATCTGAATACCAAATGATGCAATTTAGAAAACAGGATTAGGTTTATCCTCCCTCAAAAACCTCCATTATTAGGTAATGTCATTAGAAGATAACTCATATACGTGTCATAGCATAGAAGTTTTTTACAACTGTCCCCCACATTAACTTCTGGGCTATACCTGCTATCAACCTTCCTGCTGCTCCTGCTCTATCCCACCAGCACAGCATTCTACAATGGTGTGCTCTCCCTTGCTTCCTTTTGCTGCCTGGAACACACCCCTTCACTTGTCCATCAAGACCCCTCCCTTCCAGACCACCTCAACCACACAACTAACATAAACTCCATGAACACACTACTAAATAACATGTGAAGATGCTAAAAATATTCAAATATGAGCATCTATTAAATTTCATATCCTGTGAATGGTTCAAAGCATTAACTAAAATGAACTCTCATGGCATTTAATAAATACTTACTTTGGAAATGCACATCCAAAATTAGAGGTCTTTCAAAACCAAAAAAGGAACAGATATTCAATCTACCCCTTCTTCCCCCACATTCTTTTATTTGTTCATTAGGGTACACATAATGGTAGAATGTGTTGTTAAATATTAGTACATGCACACAATAAGAATAAAATTTGGCCAATAACCCTTCCCAGCATTTCCCACCTTCCTCCCCTCTTCCCAACCCCTGGATCTTCTTCCTTTGATCTACTGATCTCCCTTTGCTGTTCATGCAGTCACCCATATTCATTTCCTATTCATTCACTAGCTTTTACAAATGAGAGAAACTATTGACCTTCTGAACCTAGTTTCTTTCACTTAACATAATGGTCTCCAGTTCCATCCATTTTCCTACAAATTATATAATCTCAATTTCATTATTGCTAAATAAAATTCCATTTGGAACATTTATATTTTCTTTACCCATTCACCCACTGACAGGCACCTAGTCTGGTTCTATAATTTGGTTACTCTAGTTTATCCTGCTATAAACATTGGGTATGCCTGTACTACTCTAGTATGCTGACTTTAATTCTTTAGGCTAAATACCAAGGAGTGGTATAGCTGGGTCACGTGGTGGATTCACACCTAGTCTTTTGAGGAACCTGGTTTCCATAGCGGTTGTACAAATTTACAATTACATAATTACAACTTTTTTTCCACATCCTCTCCAACATGTATTATTATTTGTATTCTTGATGACTGCCATTCTGACTGGTTTGAGATGAATTCTCAGTATAGTTTTGATTTGCATTTCTCTAATTGCTAACAGTATTGACCATTTTTTCATGTATTTGTTGGCCACTTGTATTTATTGTTTTGAGAACAATGTGTTTAATTCACTTGTCCATTTATTATTTGGGTTACCTGGATTTTTTGATATTTTTTGAGTTCTTTATATATTCTAGATATTAATCCTCTGTCGGAATAGCTAGCAAATATTTTTCTCCCATTCTGTATGATATCTCTTCAGATTCTTAACTGAATTCTTTGCTGAGCAGGTTTTGTTTTGTTTTTTAGTTGTTGATGAACTTTTATTTTATTCATTTATTTATTTGGGGTGCTGAGGTTCAAACCCAGTGTCTCACACAAACACTCTAGGCAAACACTCTACCACTGAGCCACAACCCCAGTCCAAGTTTTTTTTTTTTTTAATGCATCCTATTTATTAATTCTTGGCATTATTTCCTGAGCTTTAGGGGTCCTACTGAGAAAGTTGTTGCCTGTGCCTATATGCTAAAGTATTGATCCTACATTTTCTTCTAGAAGTTGCATAGTTTCTGATCTAATTTCTATGTTTTTGATCCACTTTTTTGTTGGCTTTTGTGCGGGGTGAGACATAAGGACAGACTTTCCTAATTGTACATAAGAATACCCTATTTTTCTACCACCATTTCTTAAAAAGAGGCTCTCTTTTCTTAAATGTGTGTTTTTGGCACCTTTGTCAAGAAGCAGATGAGTGTAAATGTGCAGGTTTGTCTGTTTTCTATGCTCTAGCATTGTTCTGTGTGTCTGTTTTTATACCAGTATCATACAGTTTTTGTATTATGGTCTGTAGTAAAATTTGAAGTCAGGTGTTTTGATACCTTGAGCATTGCTTTTTTGGTTTAGAATTGCTTTGGCTATTCTGGGTCTTTTATTGTTTCAAATAAATTTTAGGACTCTTTTCAGTGAAGTGGTATTCTGATGGGGTCTGCATTGAATTTTTATATTGCTTTTGGTGATAGTCATTTTAACAATATTGCCTATCTATGAACATGGGAGGTCTTCCCATCTTCTGAGGTCTTCTTCCATTTCTTTCTTCAGTGTTCTATAGTTTTCATGGTAGAGGTCTCTCATCACCTTGTTAGATTTATTTCTAGGGTTTTTTTTTGGGGGGGGTGGGGGGGTTTGTTTCCAATTTCTTTCTCAGCAGATGTGAACATCTTTATCTTTCACCACATTTTAAAGGAAATGCTTTCAGTTTTTCCCCATTTACTATGAGGGTGGCTTTGGGGTTTTTGTATATACCCTTTATCTTGGAAGGTTTTTATTTCCAATTTTGATATATAGCTTTCCTAGATATAGCAATCTTGATTGACAATTATTTTCTTTCAGGACTTGGAATACAACATTCCAAACCCTCCTGATATTCAGAGTTTGGGCTGAGAAATTAGAAGTGATTTTGACTGGCTTGCCTTTCAATGTGACCTTTTCTCTTGAGGCTTTTAAAACTGTGTCCTTTTTCTGCATGTCAGGCATTTT